GCGTAATGGCTATGTCGCTGGACTCCCACGTAGTCGACCGTGGTTCATGTCCTGGACTTAGAACTCACGCCGGGCGCGTGTGCATGCATGCCCAAGATCCCAAGAGGAGAATAAAGGAGAAGGGATTGTGGCGTGGCCATTCCCTCTGGGGGGTGATTTCTCACTTTCTGTCTCTCTGTCTCTGTCTGTCTGTCTGGCGAGCGCATGCACCCTATAGCAAAAACCTCTCCAAAAAAAAAAAAAACTGGGGTTAGATAAGATTTCTCTATAGAAGGCCACTCTCCCCTATACAGATTGAGAAGTCATGGTCTTAAGGAAGGTGAAGAAAAGACCTGGGTGAATCACACTAATAGATGGCTCTCTAACAGGCTCTGCTCTGTCTGTGACACAGCTATGCAGCAGGAACCCTAGATCACCCTGAAAATGTAGGTCTGCACTGAGGCCTTGAAAGGCTCCAAGGCTCCAACCATAGAACTCTCTCTGAAAATCTAAAGTTAAAACCCTAATCTCCATCATCATTGTATTAGAAGGGGGTGCTATTAAGATGTGATTAGATCATGAGGGTAGGGCCCCCACGAATGAGATTAAGGCCCTTATGAAAGGAACACCAGAAAGGTCCCACTTCTCCTACATGGTAGTGATAGGAGAGAAAAAATGGTGGTTATTGAATCAGGAAGTGGGCCCTCACTAGACACAGAATTTGCAGGTACCTTAATTTTGGACTTCCAGCCTCTAGAACAGTGAGAAATGAGTTTCTGTTGTTCATAAGCCACCCACCCTCTGTTAGTTTACAGAGAAGCTTTCTTCTCTCTCTGAGACTGTGCTAGTATTCTAGCCAAAAAGAAAAAAAGGAGAGAGAGAAAGCGAGAGAATAACTGTCAGCCAGGATGCTAGATTCTGGATTGGGCAGAGTGAAAGGATTAGTGAATTCGCTGTTATTTCCCCAAACTGGCCCAGATTACAGCACAAGGGAGACAGAGTGATGAAATACAAGTTGGCCAAACTGGCCCAGATTGCAGCACAAGGGAGACAGAGTGATGAAATACAAGTTAAAGGCCCTGTTATTCAGGCAAATCTGGAGCCAGCTCTACCCTGGACACAGCAGTTATGTGAATAGTGATTGCCTTTTCATTTAGGCGAATTTGATTTTTTTCTCTATCTGCAGTAGCATCTTTTCTGATATAAGATCCTATGAATGAGGCCATATTCCTTCATATTAGGCTTTAGGTGATATGACAGTCACCTAAGGTGAATTGTCAGAGGATCTGTAAGTCAGGGTTTTTGATCTCTGAGATTGGCACAAGGAATCTCTGCAACTCAGGAAAGCAAAGGAACTTGATGGAGGACGTGAAAGGAGAGAGTGTCTACTTGGTGGCCTTGCTCTGCCTCCTGCCCGCTACTTAGCCAGGAAGGCCACTTCTGAATGCTGCCTGTTAGGGCTCTGACAATATTTCAGCATGTGACGGAGTCTTGATAAGACACATTGGGTGATTTTTATCTCGTGTTACTGGAATTCTGATAGCAGGCATGCATTGAAATGACTGCATTGGTGGGTTGTGCTTCAGCTAATTTTATCCTCCCAGGAGCAGCCTTGTCGCTGAACGGCACTGTGTGGTTTATTTACTTTATGTTTATGTGGAGTAAAATATGCATAACATGAAATTTACCAATGTAACCAATTTAGTGACTGGCTGGATTAGTTTTGGGAAATCTGCCCAGCACTGTGGTTAGCCTCTGATGCTGCTTGTAAGCCAGGCATGGCTTCGGGTATGCCACAGTCACCTGTGTTGTGATTCTCTCCCACCCCTCCTCTGATCACACCCCTCGTAAACCTCACTAATTGTTCCATTGTTTTCAACAGTGCCCTGGGGTAGTTATAAACTGATTTGGTCAAATTGTGACTTCTTTGAAAGAATGGTTTCTGTGGTCAGGGTTTGAAATTTTTCCCCAGGAAAGCTGCTCCTAGCCTCCTTATTTCCACTTCTCTCCAGCCACCTGGCCAGGGGCAGTCTAGTCCTCATCTTCATTAAACCCATGAGCCTCCTCCCACTTGCCTTTCCCCATGAGCTGCACTGTTGTTGAAAGCACTCTTAGCTTTAAACTCTACCAAACTCTGTTGCAAACAAAAGTTAGTTTCTGTTGGTAAGAGTTTAGAGCAATATTTTTCTACCTGACACTGAGGGTGGGGACAATGGCCAGCCTCCCTCTAAGTGACACCTCTGCTCCATTTGCAGAGTGCTTGGTGAGGGATGGGACTAGGGCTCCAGGATTCCAGCCTGTCACACCCAAGGTCGAGCCTCCTTTCTGTGCGTAGGAGTTGGGCAGAAGTAGGGAACCCCACATCTCAACTCTGCTCTCAAGGATGAGAAGTACTGAAGTCCAACCCTTGTTGGAAGCCTTGTGTTGTTCTGGGAGACCAAGGGATCTTGCCTGTTAGTCCAGGGACCAAGGGGGTCCAGTGTTGGCTAAGGCCATTTGGAATAAAGTCCTCACCCCACAGTTTTAGTTCAAATACCATAGACACGCTTTTCTTACTGAGTATTTGTAGATTATTATTTTTTTTTTAATAAAAGTGTCCATTTGCTGTTTGCCTTTGGAACCATTCTCAGAGGCCCTGAATACTTGTCTTTATCATTGTCACCAGTCAGCAAAGTCCCTCAGGTTGCCAGGCTGGAAGTTGATCACCCATAATCGCGACTTCTTGCAGAAGAAATACTAGTTTAGAAGAGAAATTAAGAAAATTAAAATGACTGTTACCTTATATATCCATGAATAGGCTCACAGCTATCCTTTAAGATCTGTAAATTGTCCGTC